GGGGAGGGAGGGGAGCGGAGGCTCCGCGAACGCCTCCATCTCCCGGCCCGGGGCGAAGCCTCCCCGCTGAGGAGAGGCTTTCTTCACGCCGAGCCATGAAATAGCAGCACGGCGCTGCTGCTCCACATCGGGCTCCCGCGTTAAGCACGACAGGAGTTTCCTTCCCCAGCGCGGGGTTTAGGGGCCCCGAGGAGGAAGCTGTGTCCGCGCTGCAGGAGCCGGGCAGCAGAGCCCAGCGCGAGGCCCGCTGAGCCGCCATGGGCGTGTGCTCTGAGCCAGCCGTTGCGTTTTAAAAATCCTCCCCAAAGCCAGCCGGGACAGGGCCAGGCAGCTGGCCGATGGATGACTCTTAAAAAAGTTGCAGTTTTTGTGGTCTGGCGAAGACGGTACTATCCCCTGATTTCGTGGAAGTGAGCTTGGGCGCGAGGCCTTCCCCGCGGAGACGGTCTGAGGGCACCCGCAGCCGGTGGCTCCCCGCGACGGGCACCCCGCCGTCCCCGGAACCTGGCCGCTGCTGGCTGTGCCTTCTCCTGTTAAAACTAGGCGCCTGTTAGAGAAGACGCATTCTAGAGGCAAAAGGCAGAAAAATACTACTCTAGCTCATAAACAGAATAAAAGATATATTTTAAAAAATCAGTATTTCATGAAATCTTTATTCCCTCTGAGAGGTTAAAAAACCAAAACCTTTTTGGTGCATTCTTTAATGATGTGCATACTCAGGCGAGGTAGCACGCACAGACGTTTTCCACGTCGAAGCGTGCCGGGTTGTACGAGGCGTAGCCGAAGCCTCAGCGTTAACGCTGGTGTCTTTCCTCCAGAAACAAACCCAGAAACGTGAAAAGCAGTTTTGTGCACGTTGGACTGAGAGGTTAAAAAACCAAAACCTTTTTGGTGCATTCTTTAATGATGTGCATACTCAGGCGAGGTAGCACGCACAGACGTTTTCCACGTCGAAGCGTGCCGGGTTGTACGAGGCGTAGCCGAAGCCTCAGCGTTAACGCTGGTGTCTTTCCTCCAGAAACAAACCCAGAAACGTGAAAAGCAGTTTTGTGCACGTTGGACCCGATAACACACTTTTCCCCTCCTCTCACCCTCCTGCATGGTCTCCTTTAGAATGCATAAAGTTGGTATCTTACAGTCTTTAGTATAGATGTAATAATGGTTCTGTAATGTAATAATGTAATAATGTTGTTCTAGACCTTTCAGGGGCTTTTACACAAAAATCTAACAAAATATTATTTGGAAACTTAATTTATCTGAGTAGAAACATAGATAAAAGCTCAGAATACTAAGGTGTTTCATGTTAATCAAAAGTTTGAACAAAGGCAGAGAATTGTTTTTTTCTTGCAATGCATGATAATAATTCAGTACCATTTTTAGCTTCTGTAAATGGAGTTAAAATGTTCTGTTCTTTTCAGCCTCGCTTTTACTGTCTGCTGCAGTGTAGAAGACAGGAACCTTGCTGCAAAATCCAGCTCCAGGTCATTATAAACTATATAAAGCTGTGGTTTAAAAAAATACATTAGTGTCTGCCTGTCTGCTGTTAATTTTTTTGCCACTGCATCTGTGGGAGGCTGCATTTACTGTTCCTGAATGGTGAACAGATTCCCCAAACGGATCTGTGATAGGGGAGTGTTTCCTAGAAGACTGAAAGCCACACGTCTATTTCGTAACAACATAAAGTCAAGGAATTCATAAATGGTGTGAACGGAGTTTTTCTTAAGTTCAAAGCTGACCTGAATTAATTAATATTTTTTCTCTTCTTTAGATCTTTTGGTGTAATATCTACAAAAGACAAACTTCCTCATTAAAACAAAAAGAAATCCAAATAAATTAGGGAATGTTTTAGAACTGAGAGAAAAATCACACGCACGGATTTTCAAAAGATTTTCAGAATGCCTACAATTAAGCATCAATTGGTAGTGATGTCCTGCAAAACATCTTCTTTCGTGAAACAATGAGGAAATGAAATCCGTGGGCCATAACTCGCTCGCGGTGACTCCTACGGCTTGTTGAGAAGTAGCAATATTTAGAAAACAATACACACATACAGATTTAAGAATTGGACAACGGTTCTCTGTAGATGTTTATTCTACTTACAGTAACAAAAACCTGTGAAGTCCCGTATTTTAATGTACAATGATATATTTTGTCATATAAAATACAATTTACAGAAATTTCTATCAAGTAACCCTAAACAAACACACTTAACTTTTTGCATACTTTTAGGTATGTCTTTAAATTAGAAACATCTCGTTAAGAAAAAAATCTTACACCTTAGTAGATGTTTGCCTGTAATACCACCTCTGCATGTTAACATTTTGTCTATAGGTTCGGAATACAGATGCCCATTTCAACCAGCAAATCCTTGACGTAGGAGGACTTCAAAGATGCACCGATACAAACTGTAAAATCTGTAGTGAGATACAGGGCATACATGCTACCTGTTACGTAGTCTTCAAGATGCAAATGCATATAGGAATCTAATTTTACATTTCCAAAACTATTTTATAAAAATACCAAAATATTTACCCAACTGTTAATCTACACGGTCAAATAAATTAGCGGGGTTTTATTTCATACTTTAGAGTTACGTTCTTGAAGAATACATGAAAAGTAGCAATGTAATGTATTTCAAAGCAAAAACCTTCCCTGGAGAGTTTTATATGTATATGACCAGCCTAAGTAGGGTCTAACAACAAAACAGGAGCAAAACACTTTTAGAATGAAAAATACAATAAAATGGGAACTTATCTTAAGTCTATGGCGAAATTCTGCAACAACAAAACAATGAAAAACCAAACCAGAAAGATGTTCCACTAAATCAGTTCAGTCGAAGAGATTTAGTGGCCTGTTTAACCTACTTACTTTTCTTTCCTTTGGTATACCAATTTGTTTGTAGTCTTAGCCTTTTCCAAAGAAACTTCTGATGTTTTCATAAGTTTTGCTGGTTATAAAGGTGCTACTCTTGTATGTTCTTTAATTACGGATTTGTGAAAATGGGACATTTGAAACCCCTTGGCCTCATGAAAAAGCTAAGTATGACTTGTTTCTTTGCTGTACACTTAACAGATGGATTTCAAAACACAAAATACCTGTATATAAAAAGGAAGATAGTGCACTTTAAGCTTATAACATTCCGTTTTCAAATCCTCCGTCAGTCACAAGTAATTATTAACACTGTTCTTCTGCAGCCTTTTCCTAAACACACAGGACCCTTCTGTTGTAAAATAAAGAAGAAAGCAACAGTGGACTCCTCTTTTTAAAGCGTGTGCTGTAGGAACAACGTTGACACCAAAATATCACGTGAATGAGATGTAAAGGTATGGCTCCTAAGGTCTGGATTAAATTCTCTTATAAAATTACAATTCAAGTTACTGGAAAACATAACTTTATAATCTTAAAAAGCAATATGCTCTTCTTAGACTTTTTCCATTTGTGTACTGTAAATGGAAATTTTAAGATAAAGATGCAAGTAGAAAAAACAAAATTTCAGTACAGGTAACGCTGTGAATTGTTGTAAGAAAAACTATGCACAAAATGCAGCAAGTGAAAGTCCAGTATGTTCTTGCCTTTTATCTACTTGAGTATTTTCGTTCACAGTTGTTCAAAAATTGCTAATTTGTCAGTCCATTTTGTAAGGCTAGTTTTACAACAGCTTTTTTGTAAAGGTCAGAATATACAGTATATACAGAAGACGCCGACTCAGTCCTTGCTGTGTTGTAAATTATTTATGGCAAATAAAGTATCAGTCATATTTCAGTCATATCAGTCACATTCCATTAATATCAGTCATATATCAGTCATATTGCACTAATCAGTCATCTTTCTAGGACTGATTAGTGGAAGACGAAGCCTCTGTTTCTGCTGGTTTCTGAGTTTCCTTCGGTGTTTCCGGCTTCATCTCTTTACCAATTTCCCTGCTCTTACTCCGGTCTTTGCGATCTTTTCCTCTTTCTCTTTCACGATCTCGATCTCTCTCTCGATCTCTTTCTTTTTCCCTGCTTCGATCCCGGTCCCTGTCTTTCTCTCTGTCACGATCTCTGTCTCTGCTTCTTGATCGCTCTCTATCACGTCTTCTGTAGGATTCTCTCTCTCTTGTTCTTGCTCTTTCTCGGTCTCTGTTTCTTTCCCATTCTTTAGCCCGCTCCAAATCCTTGTCTCTGTTTTGGTTTCTGTCTCTGTTTTTATCCCATTCCTTGTCCCTGTGTCTCTCCCAGTCCCTGTCTCTATTCCAGTTTCTGCCACTGTTTCTTTCTCTGCTTGCTGAGGCTCTGGCTGATCTAAAACCTTGTCTTTATTTCCTCCCTCATATCTTTCTCTCTGTCTCCCTTCAAATGCCTGGCCTCTAAATTCAGGATTTTTGCCTTCTCGGAAGTCAGATGCTGACCACTGCCCTTCTGACTCAGATCCTTGTCCAGAAATAGTGGAAAGAGATGCAGATGGTCCAGCTTCCTCCCACATCTCTTTTCTGTGGGGTGGTGGATGGCTTGGAAGGTCCAGGAGTGGTCTTGGGGTTGGCTTCATACCTTGTGGTGACTGACCTTGGAAATGAAACCTAGAAGGAGGAGGTTCGTTTTCTTCTGGAAACAGGGCAGGTGTGGCTCCTCTTGGTCCTCCAAACTGAAGCGGTGCTGGACCTCTCTGGTTGGCAAATCTGGGTGGTGGACTCCCTCTGCGTTCTTCAAATGGCTGTGGCAAAAGTCCTCTTGGACCAGGTACATGATTTGGAGCTGGGCCTCTCTGCCCGTCAAATTGGTTTGGGTGAGGCCCTCTTGGTCCCCCAAAATGACTTGGGGCTGGGCCTCTTGGCCCTCCAAACTGAGGGCCTCCTCTCTGTCCTTTAAATTGGGCTGGTGGGGGTCGTCTTTGACCTCCAAAAGGAAAAGGCGAAGGTCCTCTGTTTCCCATGAACTGAGGTGGATCTGGTCCTTCAAACTGTCCTGGAGGCCTAATCATTTCATTATACTGGGAATCTGAGAATTCCCTTTGTTCCATGTGAGGTTCCCGATGATCTTCAAACTGAGATGGTGACATTCCTCTTGGAACACCATGATAAGGAGGGGCGGGGCCCCTGTTATCACCAAAAAGAGATGGTGGTCCATGCTGTGTAGAAAATAAGGAAGGAATGGGACCCTTTTGACCTCCAAATCTTCCAGATGGAGGTCCTCTTTGCCCATCGTTATTTGGAGAATCATGCTCTTCAGAGAACTGTGGTGCCGGTCCTCTAAAATTAGGTCCATGAGGTCCTCCAGGTGCATTGAGCATCAGTGGTGGTGGAGGCCCTCCAGACAAAGAAAATGGAGGTCCAGCTCGGTTTTCTTCAAAGTGCTGTGGGGAAGGTCCACCCTCACCCTGAACTGATGGAGATTCAGTTTGTTCTACAAATTGATGAGGCTGAGGATTTCTTTGTTCATCGTATTGCACTGATGAAAGACCTGGTTCAAAGTGACCAGCTGCCTTTTCCTGAGAGGTAAACATTGTATTTGAAAACGAATCCCTTCCTATTATTTCCGTTGACTCATTTGACCACGAGACTTTGTGCATATCTTGCAAAGACTGACTGTCGTTTGTTGTGGAGAAATTAGGCTGAAAAGATGTACTTGGAGGTGTTGGAAGCAGCACTTTACGTAAAGGTTTGGATGCAGAAGGTTCTCCAGCAGCCATTTGACTCATGTTTTCCAAATTAACTTGAACAGTGTTTTCAAATTTGCCATTAGATGCCTCTTTCTGGGACACTATAGAAGCCTTCTCGCTTGAAACCCAATTATCACCAGTAAAACCAGGCTGAGGAGCAGAAATTAAAGTTTTCTCTTCCTTACCAAGTGAAGTCTGCAGAGCATTTGGAAAACTTGCTGCAGCAATTTCTCTTGGGGATATCTCATTCTGTACCACCTGGGGCTTTATTCGAGAATCAGCATTGTCACTAGTCTCTGTCGCCATTCTTCTGGCTTGTCGAGGATCTCTGTTCTGCCTTGGGTCACAGCCCTGGTTTAAGACTTGTGCTTGTTGATTTAAAGATGAAGATAAATCTACCTTTTGTGCAGCTTGCTGGTCCTGATGGAATAATTCAGTCTTTATTAGGGAAGATTTTGGTGGTGGTGACATTAAAGCATCAGACACTGAAAAATGAGCCATTGAAACACCAACAGCGGCTCTTTGTTGTCTGAGGGCTTCTTCTTGTTCCTCCAGTTGTCTTTTCTGTTCTTCTATTTGTTTGTTTAATTCTTCCAACATTTTTTGCTGTTCTACCAAGGATGAGGATGCAGATAAATCAGGAACATACGAAGCAGATGCTTCCAAAGAATTGCTTTTAGTGTCTGTATACATTCTGTTAGGTAAATCATCAACAGTAACTTTTGCTTCTTCCAAGATAGTTTCATCTTCTGGATCGTAGGCCTCATCCTCTAATTCTGCTGTATTAGATGGTTTCTCCACGTTATATCGTTTTTCACTGTCACCAGTCTGCATTTCAAAAGCTTTCTCCGGACCATATTCTTCTTCAGGATCGTACGGTCTGTCATCCTCCTCCTCTTCTATAGCTCTGTCTTTTGACATCTGTCCAAACTGCTGCACAATGGGATCTAACAAAGGAACAGCTGACACTCCTCTGTCGGCGGCAGCTTGACCTTCCTGATGTGAAGACTGGGCAGTACCAGAATCCTTAGCAAGAGGCTCAAAAGTTTTCTTTTTTCCAAAAAGCGTCTGCAGGATGTGCTCGAGAGGTGTGGCAGTTTTGGAGGATGAAGATTGCGTAGCAGTGACGCTTGCAGAAGCGGCAGTTGAAACGGGTGGTGGGACAGTAGTTGTGGGTCCAGTTTTAATCGAGGACAGTATTTTTAATACTGAAGGTGTAACTGCTGAGGGGTCCGGCATGGGAGGCGGGGGTGGAGGTGGAGGAGATCCAGGTGGTGTTGTACTTACAGCCGAATCTCCTGCATAAAGGGTGTATTTGGGAGTTTTCTTCTCTTGCGAAGCAGCCAGCGGCCCTTTGGAGAACAGCGATGTTTCGCTTTCCTCATGTGCTTGAATTCTGCTTCGCTTTTCCTCTATCTTTTCTGGTTCAATGCCAGTGGCAAGACGTTTCCCTTTCTGACAGATTACCAATCCAAGAATTAAATTCGGCCGAGATGACTCAAGACCTGCAAGGGAACACAAAGATTGCATATGTAAAAAAACCTAATCTTTAATTATGCTTTCAGTAGAAACTTACTATTTTAAACAGTGGCAGCTACAAGAGTCATAAAGATAGTTTTTCTAAATTCCAGTAGATGACCTATTGGCAATTTTCATTAGTCCACAAGCATATGCATCTATAGGCAGCTTTACATGCATCTTTACTTTTTACATAATTTGTATGTAATAACTTAATGTTTTAATCCCTTCCTTGATATTTCTACTAAAAGATTGCAGCAGCAGGTATGATTGCTGAACAGTGTCTCTCCAAATGTGCAAAACCAAAGAAAGTTCTCATATTTTTTGTATTGTTACATTGCTTTTGTTACTGTTCATCAA